CAGAGGGTCTGGGGCATGGGCAGGAGATGGGGCAAGTGTTCTATACTTTAAGAGGGGAGAAGGGGCAAGAGATACCCAGAGGTTAATAAGAAGATTGTTTTCGAAGGATGAGAAAGATTCAAGACCTAGATTAACCCAGTAAGAGGCAGTGAGCAGGTGGAGGAGGGAGGCTGCGAAATCACAACAGGCCCTTGCTACATTGTCTCTGTGCCCCACGCCACACCCTCAGCTGGGGGCCTCACCTGTGTCAACTCACTGACTCCTCATTGAGCCTCTAGAGTAGCTGTGTCAACACCGTTTTACAAAGAAGGAAACAGGTGCCGAGTTAAGAACCAGCCTAAAGTCCCATGGCCCGCCAGTGGGGCCAGGGCTGCCAGGGGAAGTCACTGGAGACCCCTCAAACTCACTCTACCCAAAACCAGGCCCACACTCACCTTCCTTCCTTCAAACCAGCCTCCCCCAACCTCTCTCCCTCGAAGGCCCACCTGACCCCAGCATGCAACCCCAATTCTTCTGTCCTATTAGCTACTGTATCTGAACTCCATAGGCTGCCTTGTTGTGCAGCCACAGGCCAACCCCTGCCCCCTCCCTGCATTCCGACTCCTGGGGCCTCATGCTGGCAGTCAAGTCATCCTTGACCCCACTAGGCTCTCTTCTCAATGCCGTCCACACAGCCTCTGTGTCATGAGCAAGCAAGCCCTGGCCGGCTGAAGCAAACTGACCCCACTCGCCACTCTGCCTTCCCCTCTTCTCTGTGTTCCCCTCTGCTGATAAGTACTTCCAAAGGCCCCTTCTCTGGGGAAGCTTCACTAGTCAGAAATAAACCTCCTCTTCTGAGCGCCCTAACATCTGACATCTGGACCCTGAGCTGGCACAGGGCACATGTGGTTTGGCCCAGAATCCATGTCAGGTATTTGCTGAAACGACAGATGTTCGGCTGTTAAGTATCCCTCTGGCACTTCTATATTGCTGTAAGGACTGGTTAGGGAATAGTGGAAAGTGTCAAGGGCTACAATGAACTAAAAGGTGGGATTTGGTGTTTCTGGGAAGAGCAGACTCTCTGGCCTTAGCCAGAAGCCGCTTCCTCAGGCGACCAGCCCCACCTCTGGAGGCTGGGCAGACACTGGAATGAGGGATGTGAGTACAAGGACGGCTACAGAGCTGCCGACCTCCTCAGACAGCTGGGGCTGCGTGAGGGGCTCACGCTCCAGCAGGTGCGCTCTGCCCCGGCAATGGGTGCCACATGGAATGGTGGGCCTAAGGGAGCCAGATCACCCAATTTTCCAAGGGGGGGGGCGGAAATCCAGATGTAAATATGAAATGAAATATGAAATCTCTCATTTTGGATGGCAGCTACTAATTCAAAAGCCGGACATGACAAAACACATGCTCCTGCCCCCTGCCTAACAGTTGCCAACACTGAGCTCAATACCCTCCCTGGTCACTTTCTACTTTCCAGCAAAAACTGTCAACAAATACCTGTTGAGTACGTGCATGCCTGGTATCGGGTGAGAGCTGCTTCCCACCTGTGGCTCCAGACACCAGGAGCGACTGCCTGGGACGGCACAGCACTCCCCCTTGTCCTTACCTTCATTGTGCTGGGCTCGCCTTCTCTCATCCCGCGGTGTTCTGGTTCCGTCAATTTTCCTAGAAGAAAAACAAAAAAATGAGCACATTATCTCAGGATCCACTTACCTGAGTATTTGTTAAGCAACAAGACTTAAAAGTTTTATTTGCAAGATAAATCCACGTTCAGAAACAGATGCTCTCTTTACTTAACACAACATAAACAGGAATAAAACAACAAATACACTGAGTGCCTGCTGTGTGCTGAACTGCCCAGGTCTCAGCCCAGAAAATTTTCTTGACCACTAGACCCAGCTTCAGGCTTTCCCAGTGTCCCCTGCCCCTGGGACCAAGGCTTCTGCACGTACGGGGAATAGGGGTGTGTCCGGGGTGCAATCGTCCTCTGTGTTCCTGTCTGAAGCACATCCTGGGGGGTCATCATGACATAGAACTGGCCTGCAACGGGAAAAGTAGGAGTCAGTGCCATAGATGGGGGCATCACTGGCACTGGTTGGGGGGCTTCTGTCCCTGCTAGGATTGCTGCCTCCCCTGCCCTCTGTTCTGGTCCCTTTCTCCCCTTACCTCCGGCCTGTAAGCTCTGGTCTGTGGTCTGCACTGAGACAGCCGTAGTATCTCCCACGCTGGAGGCTGGGAAATAGGCAAATCGTGCCTCCCCACTGACAGCCTCGGCTGCTGGGCTGCCACCATTACTGAAGGGATTTTGGATTACAGCCTAGGTATAGGACAGAGGCCACTCATAACTCTCTCTCTTTCCCCCATCTCATCCCTGGGTTGGTGTGTCTGATGTTTAATACGTTTTCTGTAGGCATGGGGGATATATGTGCATGCCACTCTGTGCCATGTGTCCAGATAGTCCTGGGACTTGGCAGATACTCAGCAATTATTTCTGAGAGGTCCGTTGTTATCTCTAAAAAACTGTTAATTAGGCCCATTCTAAACGGAAAAGACTGAGGCCTGGAGAGCAGACCTTGCACAAGGTTTCACCTTGCAAAACAGAACATGATACCAGATGGCCTAATAGCCTGAAGGTAGCACCTGTGCCCCACTTGTGTTCACCCGCCCCCACCCTCTGGGGCTCCCAAAGTTAGGGTACCCCTTCACTCCCAGGGCGTTGCTAGGTACCTACCAGAGGAAAGGGTGCTGCAGGACCTGGGGGCACAGAGGCAGCGGTGGGGCCTGGGCGCTGAGCTGCCCCGTCCACACCCACCTGGGCCACAGCCTGCTGACCACCCGTGAAGGCAGCCGTAGACACCACACTGACTGCGCCAGCCGTGTCACCCTGGCCATCCAGCTGACCATCAGTCACCTGGACTACACGGTATGTCACCTGCAGAGGGCAGCAGAACAGCGAGGCCGGCGCTGGGGCTCGGGCAGGGGGCCAGGCCCAAGTCCCCCTCCGAGCTCTCAGCTCACGCATCAGCTTGCCCGCCTGCCCATCCAGCTCCCAGCCCAAGGCCTCACCTGTCCTCCATTATTCTCTGTGCGAAACTGGTACTGGATGTTGTGGTCGCCGAACGCCGCCTGCTGGACGCTGGCGATGGCCACCGCCGTCTGCTCCTCTGCCCCAGGGCCGTCTCCGCCTGGAGTCGGGCGGAGAAGGGCAGGGGGATGGTCAGCGGCCAGACCGGGCCAAGGCGCCCCAGCCCCCTCCCCGGGCGCGAGGTGCAGCCCCAGGGGCCCCGCGCGCACTCACCTTCCTGCAGCTCGACGCCTTCTTCTGCTTCGGGTCCCTTGTCGTGGCTGCAGGGAGGACAGAGGGAAGAGGGAGTCAGGGCCGTCCACGCCCCCGCCCCTTCGCTCAGGTGCAGGGCCTCGATACCGCCCGGCTCCGTCCAGGGCTGGGGGTCCCTCTAGGGCTGGGGGCCGGGACGAGACGGCGCTGGGTACCCCTCCCTCGCAGCCTCCATTTTGAGCTGGGCCCGGCGGCCGCTCGGGATCATGGCGGCCCGGCCGCCAGGCCAAAGGGCCGGGGCCCGGGCGCGCGGGGCGCGGACTGGCCTGGCGCCCTTACCTGGCGGCGTTAGCAGTGGTGGCCG